TGCTGCGCGTGCTGCTGGGCACTGCTGTGCTGCTCCTGCCAGGGACTTGGGGGTGCCAGTCCAGCAGTGACACTGGGTGACATCAGGGCTGTGGGGTCACCTGGGGACTGCCCTGGCTTGGTCCTGGATTAGCAAAGGACTCGCTTCCTTGGATCCCCTGCTCCAGAGGTACAGTTGGGCTGGAGGCTGACCTGCATGGGCATGTTTGTTTTCTCTCTGTGCCTCCTGCTGATCTCGTGAGCAGCAGAGGTGCTCTGTAGCCCTGGAAACACGGTGCTTTCATCGTGCAGTTGGAGCTTTTGGTAAACAAACCATCGCTGGTGCAGCTGCACCTGAGCATGGCTCTGCAGGGAAAGCTGCATCCTACCAGCTCCATCCGCAGCATCTTGGACATTCTGCCCGCTTCCTCTGATCCAGATGTGAAGGATATATTCAGCCAGAAGCTCTATTTCTGGTGGCTGGTGAACAGCAGGAGAAGGGGCTGCAAGATGACAAGTTAATCAGTCCTCTAAAGTGTATTTCTCTGGGAAGCTGTGCCAGCTCTGGTGACATGCGAGGACTCACCAGGCCAGGGGAGGTTTTACTTGAAATTGTAGCTGTGCTGGTTTAATTTTAACTCTTTTTATTTCCTTGGAAGAGGCTTGGGACTGAAATTTCTCTCCAGTTGTTTGCTTTGCTGTTTTGCTTCCCTTATCACGTTCCTCTCTGTTATTTAATCTCCTTGTTTAGGCAGCGCCAACTATGCTTGGTTAGATAAGTGTCCTGATGGAAGTGAAGTATTTTTTCCACAGTCAAACATGCACTTCCAGGTAGTTCCCTGACCCCTGCCTAGGTCTGGGGAGGGCAGGAGAGAAATCTGCCCCTCCCTGCATGTCTGGTCCCAGGGATGTGTCTGAACGGGGATCCCAGCACTGGGAGGGCAGGCTCAGCCTCTCCTTGGAGCAGCGGCAGCACTGGCATCAGTGGAGCCACAGCAGGATAACCTTTAATGCAAGCGAGAGGAAATCTTGCTTGCTGCAAATGATTCTGCATAATGAACCAAGTATTGTGTTGTCTTTTAGCCCAATGGCTCCACTGTCACAGGCATTACTCTGGATGTGCCCTGGGGCCATGCACAATCTGGCTTCATTTTTGCTGTAGTTTCGCAGTGTGATTTACATCTCATGAGAGAACAGGACGGGTTTGTCACATAGACTGGAATTCTGAGTCAGCTCCAGTGTCTGAGACATCAATTTAAAACAAGAACAAAAGTAAGGAGACAGATGACCTTTTAAAATAATTTTTCAGTTTCCTTTAAGCCTTTCACTGCAGCTGCCCTGCGGCCGCAGCCCCTCACTGAAGCCCCTGCAGCTGCTCAGCCCCTGTCCGTGCACAGGCAGCCTGTGCCCTGCAGTGCTGCCGTGCAGGGCGGAGGCCCTGGGGCACAGACCCTGCAGGTGCTGCCAGGAGCGAGCAGGGCAGTGGCTGCAGCACAGCCCACAGGGCTGCGAGAGGCTCGCACTCGTGCATCTGGTGCATCTGCAATGCAGGAGGCAGTGCCTCCTGTCAGAGTTATTCTGGCCCTGTCACGGCCAGAGTGGCAGCTGGGGTGCGGGTACACGGTCACTGTGCACCTGGCAGTGCCCATTGCCCAGTGAAATTAATCTTATCAAGGAATTTGATGGTTCCTCTTCTCTTGTTGCTGAGGATGTTCAGCATGCACCCACCTAATCCCTTTTTTTTCCTTATTTTTGTACCTAGCAGAAGAAAATTGACTGTCCTCAGATAGTACCTGCCCCTATGGAGCCAATGCCCACGGGGGTATCTCAGAACATCATGATCTCACTGGCCAATGCAACTTTCGCTAAGGTAAATGAGTTCCTAAAGGCATTGGGAAGGTTTGGACAGCTATTTGGGGGAAATAAATCTCCCTGTTCCCTTGTGGGTGTGTGCTCCACCACAGAGCATGCCAGTGTCAGCTCTCCCAACCCCACATCCAGCCCGGCCCCAGTGCCTGTGCTGAGGAACAAGGACACAGCTCCGAGTGAGGGGCAGGGAGCCCTGTCTGAGCCACAGTGTTTGAGTACAGCATGGAAGCATTGTTTAACTTCAGATTTTCAGAGCCCATTTGGTGTGAAAATGTCTTTCAGGACATCACTACAGAGCTTGTTTGATGTGAAAAAGTATTTTTGTGAAATTTTCTGACATGCTAATTCTAACAGCAAAAAGCGGGAGTGGACATCAAATGTTGCCTTTGGAGATGTGCTGCATGCCAGACAGGACCAGAGGAATTTGGGGCAAAGAGGCTGAGCACTGGGAAGGTGCTTGAGTAAGCCCTGGTGTTTGTAGAGAGCTGCCCTGAGTAATTTTGGCTCAGAACAGCAGGGCTCATGGGGCCAGGTTTGCCTTGCCCCTGCTGATGATTCCAGCATCCTGGGCAGCCAAGTGGCTCCTTGTTCTTCAGCAGAGGAGAATTCTGGAGGTGCTGGTGGAGCTGTTCTGGCGTGCTGGAGGGTGCTGTGGAGGCACCACTCCCACCGTGCCTCCTTGCCCTCAGCACAGGGCAGAGCAGACCCTCGTGCCTCTATGGGGTGGCCTTTTCCTGCACAGCTCCAGCCTCCAGGAAGGAGGCTGTGACCTCTGCAATCAGCAAAACAGGGTGAGAAATCCTTCTTCCTGTCTGGATGCTGGAGGTGGCTGAGGAGGAAGCAATAGTGCATGGAACCCACAGGAAATGGAGTCAGCAGGAAAGGGGCAGCAGGAGAGGCTCTGGCAGTGTGACTTCCTTCCATCACCTTCTGCTCATTGTCCCAGGCTGCTGGGCAGGATTTCTTCTGCTTCCCTCTCTGGAGGAACTGGCGAGTGCTGCTGAAGCTGGGAGCCCCAGAGCCGTGTGCCCAGCCCCTTGGCTGCAGCAGGGGCGCTGCAGGGCATGGGGCCAGGCCAGGGCTGGGGGCAGCCTGCAGAGCCAGAGCTGCTTGGGCGCAGGTGATGCACTGGGCGAGGTTCTGCCTGGGTGTTTGCTCAGCCAGCACTGCCTGCCCGCAGCCTGCTGCTTCCTTCCATGTCTTTTATCACATCTGCCAGTTTTCAAAGGGTAGTTAGACCTCAGTAGTGGTGTAGCATCAACTGCTTGGAGATAGGATTTTTATCCTGCAGGATGTGGGCATGGCAATAATTTGGTGCAGGATATCATCCTTGTGTTATCAGGACAACAGCACAGAAGTCTGTCTTTGAACCTGTTCTTGGCTGGGTCCTTGTTTGAATTAGAGATTTGCTCAGTGTAGTTGTTGGGAGGAGGAGGAGGAAGGTGACTTTGAGCCCAAATCACCGACTGGTTTGGGCTAGTTTGGGGAAAGTGGCCTGGGACAATGTTGGCTCCCAGTCTGTGCTGCAGCATGAGTTGCACAGACCTCGGCCCAGAGGAGCTGTTGGGGTTACAAGAGCCCAGCCAGGCACATCTGGTCAGTGTGTGCTGTGGGCCAGGCACAGCTCCTGGTCTGCACCTTTGGTGTCAGGTACTGATCTCCTGTTTGACTTGGGCAGAGTTCAGGTGCAGTGACAGAATCAAGGTGGGACATGGCCCCTGCTGATGGACTGACAGACAGAGAACTGCACAAAATGGTTCTTGCAGCCATTCTGCCCTTGTCTTCCCTCTCCTAGGAGACAGCCCTGGAGTGCCATTTTGGGGCAGACGGGACGTTTGAGGCGCGCTGGGTGAACTCCTCTGCCGTGGAGTGTGTGCACGTGCTGGTGAGTCCAGGGGTGAGCCTGCTTCCCCCAGGCTGGGGATCAGGTCTGAGGGCGGCAGGGTCTCACCCCCAGCCTCCCACCTGGCAGTGGGACTCCACTTGCTCTCTTCCCTCCATCTCTCACGCGGGCGTTTGCCCCTCTGGGTTCTCTGCGTGCGCTGATGCTGGCGGGCACACACATGTCACTGGTGCTGTATCCCAGCTCCGTGCAGGGCTTTGGCCCTCCCTGGGGCTTGGGAAAGGGCTGCTTGTTTACCTTTCTAAATGGGAAGAGTTTAGTTCAGGCAAAAAATTTGGCCACCTTTCAGGATTGCTATTTCCGTAGCTTTTATTTTGAACAAGGAATTGGCCTGAGAAAATGCTGTGATGCTCACTGGAACACAGTGTGGTTGTTGGAGGGCAAACTGCACCTGCAAAATGCAGCAAACATTTGGGCTTCCACCAGTAGGAACATTGCAAGTGGAAGCTGGAGAAGGGCACTTTCCCATCACATCACCTGTATCACAGCCCCACGCTGAGAATGTGCAGACAGTCCAGGCTGCTCGTTTTCCTGTCCATTTCTGCTAAAAATAGCAGCAACCCAGGGCTCTGTGCTCACCACGATATGCACTGTGTCCTGGTGCCCTTTACTGGGACTTCAGCAAAATGATTAAAACAGCTGTCCCACTGCTTCTGCTAAGGATAACACTCTTGTGTCTGGAGGAGCAGTGGTCAAAGAAGCCTCACAAGAAAGGTCAATCCATGGGGAGTGTGTGTGTATGTAACCTCCTATTTGACTAAATTTCATAAGGTTTTGTTTGTTTTTTGTGTGCAGCTCCACACATCAGAGAAAAGCCATCGCTTCCCAGTGAACCTCCAGCTGAAGGACAAACCAGACAGATTTATCGACAGTCCAGAGATGATGACAGGTCTGAGTTGAAAATACTTTTATGCTTCTCTCATCTGGTTGGCTTGAACGACTCTCAAACCTGGGCAGAGTTTATGGCTGCAGGAGAGAGACCGTGGCTCCAGGGGGCACAGTGCAGTTCCTTCTCTCAGGCACATGCAAAAAGTGTATTTACCCAGAGTGACCCCCATGAACATGAGCCCAGAACCCAGGCTGGCACCCACACATCCCCGTTAGTGCCAGCCAGAGTCGAACCCTGCCCAGGAGTGCAGGCAGCTCAGGTCTCACCTGCCAGCGTGCACGGCTCAGCTCACCTGGTGCTCCCACCGGGGTGTGAGCTGGAGAGGAATCCCTCCCGGGGAGAGAAGGGATGGGGCAGGGCTCTTCCCTCAGCTCTCACAGGAGCATGGCATCGAGGTTCCACGTGCTGTGAAAACTGAGTCCTTCTCTTTGCTTCCTCTGCTGAGAAGGAATAAAATGTGTAAGCACATTTCACCCCTGGCCTGTTCTCTGTCTCTGCAAAAGTGGCTGGATTCCCAAAAAAGCCCTTGCTACATCAGCAAACCAAGGAAGGCCGGCAGTCAGAGCCGAAGTGAGTCAGACTCAGGCAGGGCGGGCAGGCAGGACAGGCCCAGGGGTTGGGCTCAGAGCGGGGCTGGCACAGCTGCGTGCCCAGCGGGGCTGGCACAGCCACAGCAGTGTGCCCGGCAGGGCTGGCACAGCCACAGCAGCGTGCCCAGCACAGCAGCGTGCCCGGTGGAGCCGGCACAGCCACAGCAGCGTGCCTGGCAGGGCTGGCACAGCAGCATGCTCACAGGTGCCCTTGCCAAGGGCTCTGCCTGGAGCAGCCCTGCCGAGCTCATTTGCCTCTCGCCAGGGTCAGAGCTGTGGCAGAAGGGGCTGATTTATCTGAGGGGCAGAGGAGGAGGAGAGCCCAAAGAGGGCTTTCCTTTGGAGGATAGCTGTGACAGGGAGAAGGACACGAGCACCAGCGACCAGTGACCAGGATAGAAAGGTTTCCCCATGGTAAACCCCTGCCAATGGAGGAGGATTATCTTGCAAAGTGAAAATACCTGGAAATGCCAGCATGGGCAGGCATGAGATCTGGTTTCTCTGCAGAAAGAAGAGGGCATAATTGTGCAATACAGTGGTAACCCTGAGGAGGGGGTGGGACATGGGGTTCTGGCTGTGTAGAAGACTCCGTTCTCTGTGTGGGTGGCGCTGGGAGCAGGAGCCACAGCAGAAAAAGCGTGGTGGAATTCCCCTCCTCCTGCATGGAGAAGGAGCTCGTTTACATAGGCCATGTTTGCATCCATCGGAATTGGCCAGGATATTTGGAGTTCCCACGGGACTGTTGTGCTGCTCAGGCTCCTCCTTGCTTTGCTCAGGCTGGTGTGAGTCACATTAGAGAGGCTGCCTTGCATCAGAGATCTGCCAGACAAACATGGGCACCTTTTAAAATGTCTTTAATGAAATCACTGATGTTATTGTTTGTTATTTCAATGTTTATTAGCTTTTATTTTACACTCTGTTTTGATAGTCCATTGAAGGAATACAAGATCTGCTATTGGTTGGAAAACCACCAGTGTAATCCCCCGGGGAGACTGCAGATGACATGGAATAAGCTTTTATTTGTGGAGAATAGGAGAGATCCCCAGTACCAGTGATGTTTCGTTAGCATGATGCAGGCAGTGGTGGTGCTGATGAAGTTTCATTAGCACAGCACAGCAGAGCGTTGAGGCTGAGGGACTCATTAGTTGCTCAGGAAGTGCCTTAAGATGCTCCTGTGAGCAGAAGTGCCAGATGTGTCTGTTTCTGTGCTTTATGTGCTGCTGCAAAGTCTCCTGTGGGGAAAAGGGTGTGAAAGCCATGTTTCCTGAGCATTTCTGACTGCTACCTCCATGGATACCCACACTTCAGTGGCAGAAGCCTTGAGGCTGGAGAGGAAATGTAACCCAGGGCACCAGCTAATGGAGATGTGAAGGCAGTATAAGAAAAACATATGGAAGTTGAGCTGAGCAGATCTGAAGGAAGAAGAAGTCAATGAAAGGGGTCTGCGGTCACAGGGGGAAGGAAAGAACTGTAAACACTGTACAAAGCATAAACTACCCCGTTTTTTGTCAGTGTGGAAGCAATGTGATTGCTTTCCTGGCAGGATGGAGCCAGCTTTGCCAAGCAGCTTCCCATGTGGATGCTGAGAGTTGGAAACATGTAGCATTAATTGACAAAAGGTTCCAAGTTTGGGTGTTGCTTGTTTTTCAAGGGGGAGAAAAAGGAAAAGAACGTGCTAAATTATATTGTAGTGTGAACAAGCGCCCAGGCCTTCTGGGAAATCTGCAGGATGGTAGCCAAGGGCTCCCTTGTCTCGCTGTGTGCTCTGCTCATCCGCTGGATTTCAGATTTTGCTGGGATCCACGTGGCGGGCAGGTGGTGGGAGCGGGGAGGGGTGGAGTGCCTCAGGCTAAGCAAAGCTGCGAGAGCCTCAGGCCTGGCGCTCACGCTGTCTTTGTCTCTGGTGCTCAGTGGAGGTGTACAACTGCGCGACCGGCAGTGCCGACTGCTCCCAGTGCCTGGGCAGGGAGGACCTGGGCCACCGCTGCCTCTGGAGCGAGAGCAGCTCCAGCTGCAGGCTGCAGACCGAGCCCCCACAGGTCGCTGAGGCCTGCCCACCTCCGGAGATCCGCAAGGTAAGACCCGAGGGCAGCATGGAGGGTGCTGGCAGTGTGGCATGGCGTGAGGTGGCGCGTGGTGCCAAGGGTGGGACAGGCTGCACTGTGCTGCCTGGAGCAGGGCAGGATCTGCACATTGTCCCTGGCAGGGGATGGGCTCCAGGCCAGCACTGAATTATTCACTGGCTTTCTATGCTGTCAAGGACATCTTGCTAGTGACAGGATCCAGTCTTCATCATGTTAGAGGGAAAAACAACAGCAGCACAGTAATGGCCAGTCCCCTGTCCTCTCGCAGCACTGGGGTGTTGCCATGACCAGTACTCTGTCCCCTGACAGCAATGGGGGCAGCAGCTGTCCGGTGAAACCAGTGGTGTAGCAGTGGGTTCAAAGCTGGTCTGTGGAAGAAAGCATGTTGCTTCCCAGATGTGTTTGCAGCTGAAGTCATCCTTGACTAAACCCCACTGCCCAACACAGCAGAGAAGTGTGGTGGTTTCTCCTCTGCCAAGCCGGAGCGAGGAGACTCTGGTGTTGGGTGCACTGGGCAAGCAGGAGTGTGAGGAGTGATTCTGTCTGCTTCACCACCACAGGGCTCAGGTGGTGCTTGGACACCAGGATTGGCTCAGGGATGGAGGCCAGAAGCTCCTGGTTCTCCCCTGACCCGGTCTAGTGGCAGGTGTCCCTGCCAATGGCATGAATCGTAGATGATCTTTGAGGTCTCTTCCAACCCAGCCCATTGTGGGACGCTGTGATGCTCTGACCTTGTGCCCTGCCCCTTGGTGCTGCAGAT